TAAATATGTACCTATAGGATGTGTAAAAATCTCATCAGGAGGCATCTTGAACGGATCGTCATCTATCAAACGGCGTTTTCTTTGACCAGTCTCGTTCAGCGCATTAACCACTGCAGCACCAGAAACCGATGGCTCATTTTCATCGCCGTTGCTAAACGACGCTTATTCTTATGGCATGGAAACCGTTTTACATTCTTTTGAATTCAGTAAAAATCACAAGTTATTAGACTTTTGTTCTTACAAATGTAAATATGCAAAAAATTCTTACTCATTATGATACAACAAAACTCCATAAACATTCAAAATTTAGATCACTATGAGGATATTTCAAAGAATTGAAAAGATTCAAAGATGAGAGTAAAATGGCTCTGATTGTGAGAAGAGACGGATGAAACCTACTGGTATGCAAGTTCAGCATCATCGAGTTGTGATATAACATTAAAATCTTCATCATCCATCTTCTTTTCGCTGTAATGAAAATGTGATGTGAGCAAGAAAACATTGGTCAATGTTTTATTAGATTATGTTAGATATATTAGAGGTTGCCCGCTGTAGACCACAATATACGTGAAGAAGAACTATAAACTAAAAACAACATTTTACTCGTCGCAAAACAACAATAAATTCAAATGTAAAATTAACAAAATGACAAAAATTACGAAGGATCAACACACCTCCGGTCCCTAAAGAAGGACGAAAGCTGCGCTGACCTGAGTGCAGTCACAATGTCAATATTACCGAGAAACGAAGGAAGGATGTATGCAACACTTTGCATGGCTGCGCAAGCACACCAAAACAACAGTGCAAAACGATGAGAAAACAAGAATAACGAGGAGAGGGGCACCGGCATCACGGCACACGCGGACCTCAAGCTGAGCTAGTACCGACTGAGGGCGGGTGGTGGAAGGGTGGGGGAAGGAAGAGCGAGTAAGTCGAGAAATCGGCACTGGGAGATCTACGAGACACAGCGACATAAAATTTTGGCTAGCCCCGGGTGCAGGAGAAAACCTAGAACACAAGTGCACCACACTAAGTCCCCATTCTACCCTACTCAGATTGCCAACGATTATAGCATTAGAGCTCTTTGAAGGGAAACCTCAATATGAACAAAATATACACCATTCTGAATAAATCATGTTTTAGACGAACCGGAACAACGCGAAATCACATGTTACATATAATGAGCCAGACGAAGAATAAGGTGAAGGAGAAGGAACAGGGAGATTTCGACTGCAATAGATCTATAGTTAGGATAGGGAGTGAAATATGGACGGTTCAAAGATAGAGACAACAGAGCATGACGCACAACTTACTAAGGAACGGAATAGAAATTTTCCTATCGTCGCTTGGGTAGGACACCCTAAGATGTGAGGCGCTGTAACATCACAGAAGGATTCAAAAACGCTCAGTGGTGATTGTTCTGGTTGTGGAAGCCACCGCGAAAACCGCCTCCTCCGCGGCCTCTGCCACCACCTCCGCGAGAGAACGAGCCCGCTCCTCCACGCGGTATG